TTCTTAAATGTGGTCTCAGTAACACAAGGAATAGTTGGGTTTCGTGCTTGACCACCACACTCAAAATTAGTTATAGGTAAAAATTGAACAAGCTCTTCCCAGAAATCCTTCAGCTCAGAGTAGTATTGATTGAAAGATTTGTTACCTTTCTTCAGGGTATAAAGAGTTGTCTGCAAATCAGTGATTTTGATGTTGTCTGCCTGTTTAAAATGCTGCCTAAGATCTTCCCAAAGCAGCCTTGCACTATCCTGTGAAGAAACACTGTCAACCAAGCTTGGATCTAGGGAACCCAGAATCATGAAGTAAACCGCCGTATTACTTTGTTCCCAAGCTTCATAGCCTTCAGCAGATGGATCTGGAGCTGACAGAAACCACTTCTGATCGACTTCTTCTTTCAATCTTCAATCTCAATTATGCACATTGTGATAGCTTATGGCTTAATCCTAATGCAATTCTTTAGATGTGCATTAACCAAATTCCATTTCCAATACATTGGGGTATACTCTTTGATACTATGTTCAACTTACTTTGAACATAAATTTTCAAACCATACTGGTTTAGATAGAATTTGAACATAACTCTATCATTCCGACTTAGATAGACTTGACTCACAAGTCCCCACTAGCCTCGCACCATAGGTTTTACACACCTATATTTTGTCATATTTTCCTGTCATAAACCAGTTGGTCCCAATATATCGAGTTTTTGGGAGAAGGTTATGCTGGATCTTATACCACACTCTAAAACGCCCCCTCAAACGAAAGCCAACTCATGGGCTTGAAGTTTGCACAGGCCCACCATACCTTGTGCTTTAATCAACTGTTAATATTGGGGGTCATGGAGATTCGAACACACGACCACTTGGCCAAACCAGCGCTGATACCATGTCATAAACCAGTTGGTATCCTCGATCAATTGATTGATCGAGACTAATCCGCGGTGAGCTCATAAGAGCTCACGACTGATCTCTTATTAGGATTACATCTTGACGGCTTGCTTACGAAAATCTCGTAGCTAAGCTTATATATCGATAGACTAGGGTTAAAACCCTAATGAGAAGAGTCGAGTAAGGCCACACATCCGTACCTACTACAACTCGGACAAGGCCCAATAAGGCCCAATACTAACACGGTTTAAGTAACCGCAGCACTCCTCCTCAAGCGAAGACATGAATGACAAGAATGTCGCGCTTGAAGAAGTAAATGTGAAGAACAAGCATGATAAGCTTGAACAAAAAAACTCGAGATGAATAACATCTCGGACGAGGTTGATTTGGAGATGACTAACTCTCTCCCTTGAACGACCAGATGAAGATGGTTGACTGCATCTTCTTGAACGTCGTAACGAGACGGTTGATTGCGTCTCTTCGAACGACCTGACGGAGACGGTTGACTACGTCTCTTGAATGACTTGACGAAGACAATTGACTACGTCTATCCATATGATGTGGTGGAGATGGTTGACTGCATCTCCTAAACGACTTGACTCCCTTTTCTCCCCCTCAAACTGACGCATGAATGATGTGAATACCCAGCTTGATAGTTAGAATGGTGAAGACTCAACATTGACCGATGCTGAATGCTTACGGGACGATCGCTATTGGGATCGTGACTGCCTTGCTTTATGACTTGACAATTTTGTTGACGAAAGCTGTAACTCCCCAACACTTGCTATTGAAGAGATGACCACTGTCGATCATGATTGCCTCAATGCCATGACTGCGATGTTGGTGAAGAAAAGCCTTCTGAAACTGAATTGGGTTTGCAGCAAGGAGTGACCTTGATGAAAATGACTCGACCACAATGACGACGAAACTTGTCGAAAAAAACACAACTACTATGACTTGACCTTTGTGCTAGAGACTCATAGTACAAAGGGAACATGAATGGAATGAGCTTGTGGAATTTGAACAGGAGCCACCATGCAGTTTACTTAGCACTTGCTTTGGGGAGAAAACCCTTCATAAGACAGAAAACAAACAACCACAATTGCTGAATCTTGAGCTTGAGACCAACAGTAGGACCCAAAGTGAAAATCCAACAACTTCGTAAGACTGAGCTTGAGGTTGACTATTATATATGCAAACAGGATGAACCGGTCCTAGGCGGTGATGGGAGGCAGAACGAAGAGCTAGAACGGATACGGATCACCGAAGCTGCAAACGGCAAGACTGAGTGATGCTGGGCGACTTCGGGACTGCAATAAAACAACAGAACCAATCTCCACCACGAACTGATTTTCAACCATGACCATGTAATTACTTTGACTGACAAACTCCTACCAACCATGCCAAGCTGAATTGACCAGAGGATACCACAAAATGACAAAAGAGACCCAAACATGGAATTCCGGTGGGTGCACAGAACTTAGCTATTGAAGTTTCCCCATCATGGAGTTCACGTGAGATTCTGGCTATTATGTGGAGGAGACCTCCACCAAAGAACATGGACAATTTGACCAAACCTTTGTTTTTGCGATAGTGGATGCTGCGGCAAGAGATGAAAGTCGCCACTCGACGGGTGAAAGCCGTGAGGTGAAGTCATCAAACTTTAGGAGTTCTCCGTGACCTTGATGAAGAGATCCCCGCTGACCCGAGCAATAATGGACTTTGACTGGCGATCTGGAGACGGACAAGTCCGCGTGATTGAGGACAAGGTCATCGTTGCTGAACATGACGCGAAGGCGCCTCAATGCAAGGCGACGCCGCAACGAAAGCTTCGGCCAACGATGATGACAACCAGCTGTGGCAAGAACGACGATTGATAACAAGAGAACAATCGATGATGATGACGACGGCGGACTAGAGATCTCATTCTTAACAGCGGGAAGGACTTCGCCGACTATGATACCGGATCCGGAGTAGAAGGCCGGAGTGGACATCGACACTTCTTTCAACAGCAACCGTGACTATCGAGGGAACGCGTGGATGATGTTGGAGGGACGCCAACATTGAATTGACTACCGGCGGTGGCTACTGTGAAGGTAGCTTGGACTTCGCCTTAACTGCGGAAGCTCAAAACCATAGACAAGGGATCGAGTTTGGCTCTGATACCATGTCATAAACCAGTTGGTCCCAATAACTCGAGTTGTTGGGAGAAGGTTATGCTGGATCTTATACCACACTCTAACATTTCCTAATTAACCTTGATAGCTTACTATCATCCAAACCACCTTCCAATCCACGAAAAATCTTGGATTTGATTGATTCATAATTTGTGCAAAACTTTAGCATATCCAGGTGTAAGTCCTTCTATCCTCTCGGGCAACGCTTTGAATAAAAATGTATCAACATTAAATTGGCACACTTATCATTCATCCATTCCACATATACGAATTAGACCAATGCGATGAACGCATTAAAACTTGCTGGTCAGTCACATTTTAGGAAATATGACTACATTATTTATCATTATGTAAATATATAATTTACATAAATATATATCACCATGGATCAAACTCCATGTCTCGTCCCACTATTTCGTTTCAAATCGGTACAAGGTCACAACACAAACAACTTGATTACATGAATCAAAGTGCTATATTTTTCAAGTACTTGAAATTGAAACACATAATAAAATTTTGACAAAATTTATTCCAAGAATTTAGCGTGAATTCTTCCAAATTCAAACAAAGTTAAATTTTCTTAAACTCTTCTCATAATATGAATTTTAAGTTCGTTCCCATCTCATTTCACTTAACCAAATCTAATTGATTAACCACTCTGTTTCTTTCTCCAAACAAACATTTTGCACAGTGAAATGGATATGAAGAACATGGGCACATCATGAAAGCAAACATGTAGAAACTACAAGTTGAATACAGACATTAAAATGAACAGTCACGTGCATGGAGGATTGGCATGGACTATGGCCGTACTGACCAATTCCAACGGTCAGCTCCTCCCTTCAGTATTTGAGAACCAGAACAAATCAAAACAAATCAATGGTTGTTCAAAGTATATATATCCTTGTATAACCGAGTCCCTTCAAATTAGATTAAGTAAATTGGTAACACCATTTATCTAGGGACAGAGATAGAGAGTTATCACAAGTATACATATCATCGATACACACACTTAAAGAAAAACCAGAAACAAGGAAAGGTGTTACCAGTTTCCAATGAATTCTGAGCGCAAGTAAATAATTCTTTAGGGAGCCAACTCGTTCAAGTAATTAATTCACAGAACAAGGCATGCGATGCCAAACTTTGTCATGCTTCCTTTCTCTCTTTGGAACAACAAAGCAGAACAAACATATATGTATATATGTATATCACAAGAACACAAACAAACATATATACATCTAAACTTTGCTCCTCATATAACTAATGCATGAATCAATACCTTCGGTTAATTCATTTTTCTTTCCGAAAACAACCAGTAATTCAACGAGGATTACACCCGGTTGCTATTCAACATATAATCAGGATTTACACATACAATAGATAACACACGGTTTAAGAAGTTAATCAGGAAGAAAAATTCCTTTTCTAGTTAAGGCCGAAGTCAACTTTATGCATGTACATGAATGTTGATTAATCAACCATATGTGAAAATCCTATTACTATTGATTAAACACATAATGACATACAAGAACTGCGGGTTCCTCTCTATTAACCAACCAGTATACGAAACAATAACCAAAAATAAGATTCTTTAAGATGAGACATTGAATTATGTCGGATAGAACTGTTGTATGTGTTTTTGTGTTTTTACAATGTGACTTGTTTTGAAAGAAAATAGTATACATGAACAATTTACACAACAATTATGGGCTTTGGGATTAGGAATATGCTAGTTAATTAATTATTGGGATGTAGTTGTTTTGGGGTTCCGTTAGGAAAAGAGTAGGAGGTGGCCTAATGGTCTAATAAAGAGTGGTAGTTTTCGGCTAGGACTAGTATAGTTATTAGGATTTCTATCATATATGTATGTAAGTTCGGTATGTAAGTTCGGCATTAGTTTCGGCTATCGAATAATAAAATTAAAGGTTTATCGACACCAACGTTGTTCTCCCATTTGTGAGCTACAAGCAACTCTCGAACCTAGAGCGTCAATTCATCAGTGGTATCAGAGCTAGTTATGCATCCTACAGAGACTAAGATTCTACAGTCGATGATAGTAGACGCGAAGTATTGTCTCCAGCTTATTGAGGAGTGCAGGATCATATGCAATGAGTACTTAGAAGGCGTCAACAAGAGAGCTGCGACCAAACTCAAAAGCGTCAAGGGAAAGGAAATTGTGCGCGTGGGTGATCAGCCACTCGAGGCTCTCATTCCTCGATCTAGGAGCTGTGAGAAGAAGGAGTTTGCCGGTGGTCGATCCAAGAAAGATGGAGCTGCTGGTGGCTGCAAGAGCTTTTCAGGTTCATGCGGGAGGTCGCACCTAACACGCATGTCAATGAGAAGAAGGGTGTGGGCAAAGCAGAGGTCGCACGGACTTTCCATTCTTGATTCATTCACTAGGAACCCTTGGCAGACTCTTCCTTAGGACAAGGGTGGTGATTGTGGTGGAAAGCTATCACATTATTTCCATTGAACCCAAATGCTAAGTTTACTACGGGAATATAACTTTTGCTTGCCAATGCTCAAGGGACCGCATTAGGATTCCTGGCCAATATAAGGAAGAATAACAAGGGCCTGACAGAGAACTGGAAGTTTAGGAGGCGACAATCGTGATGCTGTCGCAAAAGCTGCAATTGTCATCGTCGTCGTCCCCCGCGAAATTCGTCAACATCAGAACCTTGCGGATAAGGTTCTTTGAGGGGGAAGGATTGATGAGGTTATTTAGTGATATGATTTGGGATTAGGAATAGGCTAGTTAAGTAATTATTGGAAATGAGTTGTTTTGGGGTTCGGTTAGGAGAAGAGTAGGAGGTGGCCGAATGTTCTAAGAAAGAGTGGTAGGTTTCTGCTAGTACTACGATAGTTATTAGGGTTTTTACCCTATATATATATACTAGATAAGTGGCCCGCGCTCTGCGGCGGGTAACTGTGCACAACGATTTGATTTGCACAATGAAATCAACAAATATATCTTTGAATAATATATGATTTGAATGATCCACAAATATATCTTTGAATGTGACTCATCACTGTTTGAGTCGCCAATCTAGAAAACAACTAAATAAACTCTGAACAACTCCATCAATTCGCGATCCAAGCCCTAGGTGTCCCATGACCAAATCGTCAGCTTATTTATTGGACATTAAAATCCATAGGAAAAGAATGCAATACTGTTGGAAAATTGTGTGAACTTAGCATTTCCTAATTTTAATAGCTTTATATAGCCGCCAAGGCACCAATATAGTTAGATCCAGTGTGAGGCAACCTGATAAAAGCCACTTGGTAAAAAGAAACTGATAAAGGACAATGACAGGAGAAGTATTTAGATTTATTAATGCTAAGTATGCTAGAAAATACTGCACGAAACACCACAAACCACAGTATACCTGTGCAATGGAAATAATAAACTATATATTGTTGTCAAATAATAAAATGAAATGGGAGACAAAGTACTAAAATTTCACTAAATAAAGATAAATTCACAAAGGACCAAGTATAGTCGTGCGTGTTTGAACAAACAATGGATACTCTACAACGAAAAATTACATATTCAACCAACAAAAACATTTCATATCATAGAAAGTATACAGCTCATTTTAACTAAACACCAAATCTATTTCTTTCAATAGTTTTCTTACCTATTTCTCTCATTTGCTAAATATTTCTTTCAATCATAAATAAATCATCAATAGTATGAATTCTTACAATCTCATGTGTAAATACAAATCATATATGTTTTATGAATCCTTTTAGATTACCAAAAATCTATCAACAGCATTAGAGTCAAGCCGAAAGGGAGACCCATGAAGGTTTTTTGGGCAAAACTTATTAGCTTTTCTCAGACTAATGAAGGAAAATTTATCCATGCAATTGATTAGTGGACAATTAAGTCAACCCATGAAATCTAAAATTAAAATGGAAAAGAATTAATAAAGCAGAAAGATAACATTTTTATGTACAAATGATCTGAACAAATATTTAGCAAAGGGAAAGATAAGTTAGTATGGAGGTGGTATCCCTTCATTGCAACGTGTAAGTCATGCAAATGGGTAAGATAACAACTGCTGGATATAGAAGCTGGAGCTTGGAGGAAAACAAATAAAATAGCTCAATCGGGCTTAATTGTCAAGCTCTTTTTCACTAAAGTGAAGCCAAATTCGGCTAGGCAAACTCTTTCCCCTTCCCTTTGGTAATCGTTCTAAGAAGAAGAAAAGAAATGGACGCCGAGTGATTGCGTTGGGTTCCTTTCCACCAGCCTGCAAAGCAAACTCAATCAACTCTATACGATCCTTCCTATGATTTCTATGACAATACTCTCCAGCTACTAATGCAACCCAGCAACACGAAGCAAGCTCTTTTTTTATCAATACTATCTCCCGCTTAAAACCCTAAAATAACATTCCCAGCGAAATCAAATTAAGCCACACAAAGGTCTCTCTCCTCTTTGAGAAGAACAATCAAGTCGAAGTGGGCGGCAAAAAATGAACTCTTTCATGCCTTTCCTGGTCTGATGAAGCTTAACGGAAACTGGAATGGAAGCTCATGGCGGCGGCCGCTCCTTCTTTATTTCTCCTCTCCTAACTCTCCTTGCTTCTTCCATCTAGTTGCATGGTTGTTCTCAGGATGCTTCTCCGCTGGGATCTCCGATTGCTAGCATCTCCCTTTCTGTGATTGTCATCTCGACTTGATTTGGTGCTGGGACATGAGAAATCGCAACGGTTTAGGGGCAGGGGAGTCGCCGATGAGCTTCCTAAACTTACCTAGCCGGAGGGGCAGGGTGTTGGAGGACTCGACTGCAAAGATCCAGTAGTATATGTGCTTATTTGTAATGTTTGTTTACTATATTGATTGTTTTAGTTATTTTACTAGGACTGAATATATATATGTGTAATAAGGACAGTGTAAAACTCACGTTTTGATCAATAAAGAAGTAGAATCGTTTTTCTCCAAGACCAACATGGTATCAGAGCCAACAAAATCTTGATTCTCTCTCTTCCTTTCCCAATTTTCATTCTAGGGATTTCTCTTCGCAAAGCTTCCGCTCCCACCTTCGCAAAGCTTCCGCTCTCTCTCTCGATTCTCATCTGTTCGTCAATGGCGAATCCGACGGCGCAGTCGACTCAGGCGAATTTCTCGTTCGTCCCTCCCGTCGGATTGCTCGATCCTAGTCATCCTTATTTTCTGAATCCCGGAGATAATCCAGCGTCGGCTCTCGTCACCGTCGTCTTCAACGGGAACAACTACTATGCATGGGCGAGGTCTATGCGTCTCGCACTTCTGGCGAAGAACAAGCTGTCGTTGATCGATCCCGCCGTCGCTCCACCTTCTCCTGCCGATCCTCTTCGCGGTGCTTGGGAGAGGTGTAATGTGATGGTTCTTGGCTGGATCTATCGTTCTTTGGCTCAAGACATCGCTCACAGCGTTCTCTGGTTTGATTCCGCGGTTGATGTGTGGAATGATCTTCATGATCGGTTTAGCGAGGCAAGCTTGATTCGGATCTCCGATCTCCAGGATGAGGTCTTTGCTTTCAAGCAGGGCACGGCCACAGTCAGTGAGTATTTCACTCGATTTCGCGTTCTCTGGGATAAGTTGGTGACTATTAGGCCGTTTCCTACCTGTTCGTGTAATCCAAGGTGTTCTTGCGGTGCTCTCACCGTCGTTCGTGATTACCAGCAGTCTGACCAGATCATTCGCTTTCTGAAAGGCCTCAATGACACTTACTCTCAGATCCGAAGCCAGATCTCTCTCATGGATCCACTTCCTCCGATCACTCGTGTTTTTTCCATGGTGATCCAACATGAGCGGCAGCTGAATCCTTCTGGTGCTCATTCTGCGTCAACTCCGCTTGCTATGGCTGGTCGATCTTCTGGACCGAGTCAGGGTCTAGGTCGTGGTGCTGGAACGAAACAACGGCCTGTTTGTACTCACTGTGGCGGCGTTGGTCACACTGTGGATCGGTGCTTCAAGAAACACGGATATCCTCCGGGTTACAAGGGCAAGAGCAAGGTGAATGCAGCCGTTGCTGAAGAGTCTGAGGAGTCCCTGCCTACTGGTGGATTTGGACAGTCTGGTGGATCAGTAGTCCTCACTTCTGATCAATATCAGAAGCTTCTTGCTCAGGCGTCTACTTCTACTCCAGCAAGCTCAGTCTCGTGTCTTATGGCTGAACAGCCAGGACCTTCCACAAGCAACTCTGTGGCTGTTTCTGTTGCTCCATCCGCTCAGCTGGCAGCTTATGCTGCGGCAGGTAAGTGTGTTCTTGCCTCTGTCACTCCTAAGTCGTTAGCTGCATCTAATAGAACTTGGATAATTGACAGTGGTGCCACTGATCATGTGGCATGCTCATTAGATTTATTTGTTGAGTATAGGACCTTGAATGGAATGTTTGTTACCTTACCTGATGGGTCTCGTATTACTGTTACACATAAGGGGTCAGTCAAGCTTTCTAATGATCTGCTTGTTCATGATGTGTTAATGATTCCCTCGTTCACTTTCAACTTACTGTCAGCAAGTCAGTTAGCTAGGAAGAATAATTGTGCGTTAATTTTTTCCCATTCTGAATGCTTGATTCAGGATATCCCGTCCCGGCAGAGGATTGGTATAGCTAAGCAGATTGCCGGGCTCTACTACCTCCACGTCGACTCTGGACGCGAATCCTCTTCTCTATCTCTACCTATCGCTTTATCTGCTATGTTTGACACAACTATTAGACAGATTGATCGTTGGCATTATCGTCTTGGCCATAGTTCAGTTCCGGGTCTTAGTGACAGTAATAAGTGTCAAAACTTGCATTGTTCTGTTTGTCCTGTTGCTAAACAGCGTCGTTTACCTTTCCAATCTAGTACTTCTTATGCTGCTGGTATGTTTGACTTGGTTCACATTGATATATGGGGGCCATATGGTGTTCCTACCATAGATGGCCATCGTTATTTTCTTACTATCCTAGATGATCACTCTAGAAATACTTGGTGCTACTTGATGACTTCCAAGTCAGAAGCTAGATCTCTTGTTCAGTCTTTCTGTGTTTATGTACAAACTCAGTTTTCCAAACAAGTTAAAACCATTAGGACTAATAATGGGTCTGAGTTTCACATGCCACCATTTTACAATTCTTTAGGAATTATCCACCAAACCACCTGTACTGCCACTTCACAGCAAAATGGCCGTGTAGAGCGCAAGCAACAGCACATTATTGCTGTCGCTAGAGCTCTTCTAATGCAAGCTTCTCTCCCGGTTAATTTCTGGGGACATGCAGTTTTGCATGCTGTCCATATAATTAACCGTTTGCCCACTCCAGTCTTGAGTAATAAATCTCCATACGATATTCTTTTCCACAAACAACCCGATTACAGTTTGTTACGAGTCTTTGGTAGTCTTTGTTATGCGTCGACCTTAGCTCACAATCGTCCTAAGTTCTCACCTAGGGCCGAACCTTGTGTCTTTCTTGGTTTTCCCTTTGCCACAAAAGGATATAAACTGTACAGTTTAGTTTCTCACAAAATCTTAGAATCTAGGGATGTTTCATTCCATGAAAATATATTTCCCTTTTCAAACAGTGGTCTGTCCTTGTCTTCCCTAGACCAAGTCCTTCCATTTATTGATGTTCAACCTATGCAATGTTCTATTCCCAATCCCATACCTCCCCTGTTTCCATCTTCTTCTCCACCTTCTTCCAATACATCTGCTTGCATTCCGGCCGACACTTCTCTTCCGTCTCCCACAACTTCTGTATCTGAACACCAACCCAGCAGCACCATACCACTTAGGCGTTCAGATAGGATTCGTGTTCCCCCTAAGAAACTTAGCGATTATATACGGCCCACTACTAATACTAAATATCCTCTAT